CCCTGGGGCGCACTGGCAGAGGCGAGGCTGCCGGACACTGGCGCCACCATTCAGCAACGGGTGAAGTGTCTTGCCCAAGGACACAACGACCGAGACTGTCGGAGCCGGGGCTCGAACCGGCAATATAATATTTACAGATTTCTAAAATACTTGTGTTTTCTTGTTTTTTGTGACAGGTGGTCTAATGAATACCATCCATGTAACTATGATAAGCAGTCAGAATAATAAAAATCCTCCACTTTTAAAACTATTTTAAAAACTAAAAACTCACTCTCTTTTAAAAGCTCACTCATTACCATCTAATTATTTTACACTTATCAATTAACACTAAAAAAGGGTCAACTTTTAATTAACCCCAAAATGTATTAATTTGATCAGACACATACAGTATATAGTGTTATTTTGTATAATAAATGAATAGAAAGCACATATGTCAGTGTTTGTGATATAGCTTGAGCGTAGCAGTACATTTCAATATTCAGTTTTGTTTTCACAAAATTTCAAGTATTACTCCGAGAAGTTAGCAGAGGTTTCGCAGCATTCTCTGAAACATGATCACATATAGTACTTATATATAATACTTACAGATTAGATTATTTGTGTTGCAAAGATATAACCCAGTACAAAATCATCACTATTGTTGTTCTTCAATGTTTCTACTAGTTGCTGTTGAGGAAGATGATGTTAGCCAGGAGGCATGATGTTACACTGTTGCTACTAAAGCATTTTTCAGTGTGTACTCTCAGTGTATTTTCCTATTGTTGTAAGTGTTATTGATTAGCTGTTATGTGCTTTTCTTCTTATGCTCTTGTAAATATCCCCTACCTTTTCTTCGCCTATAAAATCCTCTGGGTGAAGTGTCAGATGTTACGTGGAGAGCAGTTTTGTCCCTTGTCTCTTCAGGAAACTCACATCTCAGTTGCTTTAAACTTTAAAAAGTGTAATTTTACGGACTTTTAACGTGTTTGATTAACAATGCTTACTTTTCCTGGGTAGAGAATGCAAAATGAAATAATTTTACAATCCAGTTCCAAAATGCCTGGATGTAAAAGACATAAAAATATATATAAATGTAAATATTCTCCCTTTCCCAGGTCTTTCACAACTGCACCTGTGTGTCCACCTCCTTTCCAGCAGGCAGCAGTACATCAGTGAGACTGGGCCAGTGCCCTCATGCCAAGGACTGCAGCCGAAGCTTCACTTCCTATATGGCCATATCTGTTCTCAGCTCCTTTATCAATGCTCTGGGAGCCACACCTGGCTACATGGTCATTATACGGTCTGTAAAAACTTAGTGTTGCTATCACGTCTATGAGCAGCCTAAAGTAGTGGTAGACAGTGAAATGGAAGGACTCAAAATAGTTATAACGTAACGTGGCTAAGTGAGGTGGAGAGAGTATAGATAGATTGGCAGGAACTTGGAAGTATGGGGGCCAAATAGAGACTAAGCAGGCATGCGGAGGGCTGGTGAGGTTAAAAACCTGGGAGGCACAAAGACAGGAAGGTTTAAACCTTTGACACATTGTCTTCTGCCACAAAAGATGATAGAATGATCATGCAAAGACTGGATAAAATACCTGGTTAGATAAACTACTCGGGGTGATTGATCATTTGACATGGAGGCACATCAATCCACTGGCTGCTAAGGAGCAGGAGGGAGGCACTAAGAGAAAAACACACAGAGCAAGAAGAAACAAAATGGAAAGGCGGACAGAGAGAAAGGCAGAGACAAGATAATTCCAGTGAGAGGAGAAAACTTTGCTGTTTTGATGCAATCAAGTATTGGCTGCTGTGACCCTGACTCAAGGGAAGCATAAACAAAGTTACTTTTTGACAAGTTTTTTTTTTCTACACATTTCTAAAAGTGTGGTGGTGACACATGCAATGAAAGAACGTACGTAGGTAATCAGAATCAGAATCAGAATCAGAATACTTTATTAATCCCTGGGGGAAATTATTTTTTGTTACAGTGCTCCATTTTAAACCAACATTAAGACAAGACAGACAATACACTAACTAAGAATAGTACAATATATACATATATACACATACATACTTCACTCATAAATAAATAGTTGGAAAAGAAACATGTGTAGTTGTAGCAGCAAACAGTGTGTTAAGTGGATGCGTTGTACAGGGAGATGGCCACAGGCAGGAAAGACTTCCTGTGTCGTTCAGTGGTGCTTTTTGGTAATCTCAGTCTCTCACTGAACGAGCTCCTGTGACTGACCAGCATGTCATGGAGTGGGTGGGAGGTGTTATCCAACATAGTCTTTATCTTGGACAGCATCCGCCTCTCCGACACCACCTTGAGGGTGTCAAGCTCCATCCCCACAACATTACTGGCCTTACGGATTAGTTTATTAAGTCTGTTGGCATCTGCGACCCTCAGCCTGCTCCCCCAGCATGCAACAGCATAGAGGATCGCACTGGCCACAACAGACTCATAGAAAATCCTCAGCATTTTCTGGCAGATGTTGAAGGACCTCAGTCGCCTCAAAAAATAGAGACGACTCTGGCCCTTCCTGTAAAGTGCTGTGGTGTTTTTAGCCCAGTCCAGTTTATTGTCAATGTGAACTCCAAGGTATTTATAGTCCTATCACCTGAAAAGGGTTTAAAGGAATAGTTTCACCTTTTAAAGAACTAATGTCCAGCATTAAATAACAGTATTAAGCAAAAACTGCAAGATAGTTCCCCAATAATTCCACTAAAATTTAGCCGAGCCAAAGTCTGTTCCTGCATCCTGTGTATCACTTCACGTCTATCCATTGCTGCTATTGAGACCTGTCAGCCTACTGTCGCCAGTTTATTTTTTATAATGTACTCCTTATTTTCTTGATTTGTTTTGTTTTGTACTTGCAGATGCATCACACCCGAGCTCAAATCCCTTGCTCTGGGTATTCAGACCTTGGTAACTAGGACTCTTGGTAAGCTTCAGTACTTTCACTTTGACGTAAAGCATAAATATATGTCACTCTGCTTGAATCCCAAAAGGTTTATTTTCTCTGGATAAAAGTTTTGTCCCCATTGCCAATGCTGTCTGTAGGTGGAATTCCTGCACCGGTGTATTTCGGCGCTTTGATTGATTCAACTTGCCTTAAATGGTCTATGAAGAGTTGTGGCGGTAGGGGGGCATGCCGTATTTACAACTCTGATATGTACAGGTACCACACGGAGAAATTCCAGTTTACACTATTTAAACAAATTTGCCAAAAATTATTGACTAGCATTATAATTGTTGTGAAGACCTTTGCTGATTTGCCTCAATCCAATTCTGTTCTCTACTTTTAGGATCATTTTCCTGGGTTTGATCACTTGTATCAGTGGCTCCTCTTATTTTTTCCTCATTGCTGTCATCATCCTTCTCAGACGCCAGTTCCGAAAGCCAGAGAAGGACACAGACAAGCAGGAGCAAAAAGCATCAAAGGATTTTGAACTAAAGACGCCATTAAACCTCACTGAGGAGATTAGAGCCAGTCCTGAAACTCCCAACTTACCCAGTGCTACAAAAATTTGGGTAAAGATTGCTACAGATTTGGAGGAAGGAGGAGAGGTCCACACAGTAGAACTGCCCCCTCATAATGATGGAGTAATCTCTACAAGTAATGCACAGGAGGCTAAATACATGACAGATACCTGCGCTGAAGTTATTCCTCTGTCTTCTGATGGCACAAACACAGAGATAGTCCGTAAAGAATCCATCGGACACAAAGTAATAGAGAAGCAGGACGATCACATTGATGACAAGAGCAAATTGGAGAAAGAGAGGCAGCAACTAAACTGATGGACCACATAAAGACTGTGTTTAGCAGAGTGGTCTCCAACACAAAATCAAACTGGAATGGATGGAACAAGTCCCAAAGTTTGGTCAAAATGTAATTTTCCTGTTAACTCATTCACTGCCAGCCATTGGCAGTGAATGAGTTAAACCCATTGACTCATTCACTGCCATTGACGGCTATAGACGTCAATGGCAGTGAATGAGTTAAGAGGGACTACTTTCAGGACAATGTTGTTAATGCTAATAGTATTTTCCATCCTTTTTTTGCAGGATGCAACTATTATAATCAGTGTTGGGTGTTAAATGTAACAAAGTAACAAATCCTTAGATAAAAATTTGGGGGGGGGGTGTTTTTCAGTTCACAAACTCAATTAGGTACTTTTTAAATATTTAAAAGTACCTAATTAAATATTTCCTGTTGTTTCACAATATTTTTTGGCTCCTTTCAACTCATTAGCATCCAGCTACATACTGGAATGTATCCAGTTGTAGAGCTCAGCCAGCATGATTGTGCATATGACAACATTTACATTGCAGAAGAATTTGAGTTACTGTGTACCACAGTTATATTTATTGTCTGTCAGCTGCTAAGGAGCTGTGCTTCATGTTTTGAAGTAATCTGCAGTCAAAGTAAGTGGTAAGGCCAGTTGAGACTGATGACTGTATGTGGCATGAATGATGGACCACATTATAACATTCATTAACACACACTTTCTCGGTTGTTGTTCAAACACTCTCGCGGTTGCATCTTCTCAGCTCTCAGCCGCCCATACACCAACAACAACACCATTCAGGAGCCAGTTCACTCTCATATGCCAGGGAGGCTTGATGACCCAATGCAACTCAGGTGTGTCCGCCTCCCCGCAGTCGTGCTCCACCACACTCTGCTTCTCCAAAACTTCAGCTAAAGCTTGCTCTACGAGGGAAATTAACAAGCTCGATGCTGGTTCTGTGGAAATGAAGATGATGCTGTCAACATGCTAATCAATGAAGTAAAGTCAGTAGAGTAGACTACAAGCCCTCTGGACGTATAACCAGCATGCTGTATGCAAAAGGGGTTTTATTTTTTGTTTTTATTTTTTTAGGTATTGCTTTAATGTAACTGATTACTTTTTATATCCAGTAATCTTTTAAATTTACATGCTATTTTTAAAAGTAATGTTACCCAACACTGGTTATATCACGCTTAATCCTGTGAAGAAAGAGCGCTACCAGTGGTCCCATTTCCACATTTGTAGAAACAGTCTCTGGAACAAAAATGAAGTTGTGCTGATGCATGTATGTGATCACATGACCGCTTTGCAAGGTCCCAGAATGAAAAATTTTATAGATTACTTCAACTTCTTGAAAAAAAAGTTTTTTTGTGTAAATAAATGGATGTTTGAATGACTAGAATTATTTTTGCATTCATTAAGCAGATCTCATGTATACACAGTACAGACTTTGAATGGAATGCATTTGTCTATAAATGCAGTCATAGAGATGCAATAAAATTGTGAAACGTCTGGGCATGGCAGCAACACATTCAGAAAGTTTGCCTTCAAAGTAAAAGCTCCGAGGCACAATGTTTACTTTGAAGGCAGTCCATCTCCATTTCTGGTTTGTGACACGATCTTTCAAGGTTTTTTTTTTTACAGCTGGGCTGGTAAGTAGCAAGTATTTGCCTGAAAAATGGGAAAAACCACAGGGAACCACAGTTCCCTTTCCCTTTTTTATAGATAATATAAAGTCATCTTCTATATACAATCCCAGTTCCAAAAGGTTAGGACATTTTAAAATGGAAATCAAAACAAAATGCAATGATTTGCAAATTCCATAAACCACAAAAATGCTAGGTCATTTTGAATTTGGTGGCAACAACACGTCTCCAAAAGGGTTAGTTTACCTGACAACAGCTCAGTAACATGATTCTGTATTGTAATAAAAGCAGGTAAGAGAGGCAAAGTTTCTCAAAAGTAAAAAAGGTCAGAGGTTTATCACTATGCAGTAACCAAAAGACAAAAAAAGAGTATCTCCAGATTGTGCAGCAATTTCAGAATAATTTTTCTCAACATGAAATTGTGAGGACTTTAGGACAAGCCTGAAAAAACATATCAGGTGCCTGTGATCTTCAAGTGGCACTGCATTAAAAACAGGCATGATCACTGACCGTGCCATCCAGAAATGCAGCCCTGTCATGCAAAAAAGAAGCCATAAGTGAACATGATCCAGAAACATTGCTGTTGTCTGTGGATCAAGGCTCATATAAAATGGACCGAGGCAAAATGGAAAACTGTTCTGTGCTGAGACAGACCGACCCTTGAAATACTTTTTGGAAAACATGGAGCCCAAATACTTCAGACTGAAAAGCAGACTTGTCATTCAGGAGGAATATGTGGAAATGTGTCATGAATGTTGAAAACGTTTTAGAGGAATATATTTTTAACCCTAAGGCCAATTCGAAATTGTATACTGCATTTGTTTCAGTAGCATGGCTTCATAGTAGAAGGGTCTGGATGCTAAACTGGAATGCCTGCAGTCAAGATCTTTTATCAACTGAAAACATGATGAGATGAAAAACATTCCAAACAAGATCAGGAATATTGATACGTTTTAGGGGATGGGGGGGTATTTGTAGACTGTACGGTGAGGCTCAAACATCAAGGTGAAGTACAAAAGACTAGATCACAAATGTAGCTGCTAAATGTGTCTTTGTTTTCACCAGCTGTTTTGACCAGTGTAAAAATCTGTGTGCTTGATTTTGCGTCAGGTGGGAAAAGGTTGAAAAGAAAAAACACTCCAGACAGGTGTGAGAGAGAGTTGCTGTGTTAAGAGTTGTGTGAAATGTACAACCAGCCTATGCTGTTAAGCTCTGGGCAGCAGGAGAAAATAAAAGTATTTTTAGGTGCAGATCCTCAGTAGGTTTTGTCCCTAAGCTTGAATCTTTCATGTCACATTTGGTCTTTTGAACAACAATTCCTAATCAGATTTAAGTTTAGGCAAAATTGAGGACTTGTTTTGCGCACAGAAGTATGTCTTAAAGTATGTTTCTTCTCATTAGCAGAGATATTTTTACAAATACCACTGAAATATGAGGGTTTCTCTGCACTTATGCACGCTGTCCAAGAAGAAAGAAAACACCAGAATCGTAGCTTTATGCATAAGACTGCTTGATGTACAAGAGATATTTAGTAGGAAGGTAAAAATGCATTCACAAAGCAACAAAACAAAACACCTTCCTGACTAAAATGTCATTAATGCAATTAATTCAAAAAACATGCTATTTGGTTTCCATGTAGAGGTAGATGTTGGTGACGTCAAGTGTTTATTTTTATCTGTGGATGCATCACGGGCCAGAGAGTCGACACACACAGGTGTCGTGTGTGAGTGCTCCTCCCTCGAATAAACAAAAGTGATGAAATCATGTGACCAAAGAGTTTTCCCACACCAATCAGGTAATGCATCGTGCCAAACTGCCCATGTGACAGTAGTTAACTACAAACATGGAAACATTTCCAGGCGTCGATGCTCTCAGTGCAAACAAGTCATAGCACTGCGCTGCTGGCACTCCTTGCTTACGTCCGAATGATTCTCCAGTGAGGTTTCATCCCACTTAGATTCAGTGCTACAAGAATACTAATGAACCATGCTGACCATATTTATTGATGCTTACAAGCAGAAAGGGAGAAAAACTGGATTAAACAGGATTTGATGAAGCTTGTGAAGGTTCACTTGGTTTTGTGTGAGCTTTGTTTTTGTGCTAAATCAAACTGTAAGGTTGGACTTCTCGCAAGTACGAAATCAATCCAAGGCACCACATGGTGACATGACTTGACTCAATGTTTTCCAGGACTTCCATTAAAAAAAAGAAAATTTCTTTTCTCTCTTCTTCCTCAAAAAGTTGTAAATTACCAAAAGTCCTGAGGCACAAAATCTCTGGTTTATAGCTAAATCAAGTAATTGTTTTCGGACTCTCACGTGATTATGCATTAATGTAAATAAATCAGTCACAACTTTGAAACTTTGAGCTGATATTGTGCAAAGAAATAATAAAAACCCATGTAGCTGCAGAGGAATCAGAAAAATATCCTGTCACTGTCTCTGCAGTTACCTTTTTTTTTTTTTTTTGAAGCTTACAGGAAACTCGGGGAGGTGTTCATCAGACCGCAGTGGGTTTGGGGGTGTTATACGTCCATTAAGAGTGCACTATATGTCTGTTAGCTCAATCTGCGGTGAAAACCACTAGCACTTACCAGCAGCCTGCTGCCTGTGCTGGCATCTCCCCAGTGAGATAGTAGGATGCTCTCTTTGGCTCACCAGTAACAATAACTATGACATTAAGAGTCATGCACTGTGTTGTTGTGAAACTGATGGTCTTTTTTTTTCTTGCAGTGTTTTATGAATACATTTTTATGAGATATCTTTCTGTGAAAACCACAGCTCATCAGAATTGTCTATTTGTATTTGCTGCTTATTTTCTGTAGATTTATATAAATGTGTGTTTTAAAACATACTATATATACAGATTTATAATACATATTACATTACACATTACTTAATAACATGATTATCAGTTCAAAGGGAGGCTGATATTCCCTGATTGTAGATAGGAATTTTTTCACACTACCTGTCTAAGTGCACCTTATCGTTCAGTAGCTTTTAGAACCACCTTTAGCAGCAATAACTTGAAGTAATCATTATCTGTGTGACTTTATCAGTCTCTCACATTCCTGTGGAGGAATTTTGGCTCACTCTTCTGTACAATCTTGCTTCCGTTCATTGATTTTTGCAGGCATTGATTTATGCACAGCTCTCTCAGCATTTCAGCCAGGTTGAGGTCTGGACTTTGACTGGACCATTGTAACACGTTCAGTGACTCTGTGAGTCACTGCAAGGTGCCCAGGTAACGTGGCTGTAAAACAAGTCCAAATCATCACCCCTCCACCGCCATGCTTGACAGCCGGTATGAGGTGTTTGTGCTGATATGCTGTGAACACAGTGCTGTGTAGTACGGCCAAACAGCTCCACTTTGGTCTCATTTGCCCAAAGGACATTGTTCTAAAAGTCTTGTGGTTGTTAAGGACACGTTTTCTGTTTAGATGTGGTGATTAAGCGCACAAGTCAGAGAGCAATCTCTCTTGTTGGGTTTTTATCTCAGTAAATAAAACCTCGATCAATCACCTCTTGGATTCCAAGCGATGCATATTGTTTACTTAAAAGAAAACAACTTAATATTTGCTTATACAGTCTTTAGGAAACTAAATAAGAAGATGCAACTACTAGTCTAGTTTTCAACTTGTCACACTGCTGGGTCGTGCGGTTCTAAAGTGTCTCAAATTTTACCATCAATTCATTAATTAATACTGTGTTGCTTGTGACATGTCCCATCAAAATAATGAGGCACCATTTATTATTGATGATAATTCATCTTCACATGTTTTATTCATCGTCGTTGAAGCCCAGAGGAAGGCGCTAAGGCCAGAGTTTGGTGACCTACAGTAAAAGTTCACTACATGTCTCAAGGTAAATAGGAAGACAGCCTGACAGTGTTCTTCTCCCTGGTGTGGGTTTGTGGCGGGTCAGTCCCATCACGGCAGCTGATGACAATAGTGACGACTGTGATGATGAGGATGGTGACGTATGCAGACGTGCGTGTGTTTGTGTCTGTGTACTGCGATTATCTTTCGTTCTTTTTTTTTTTATTCTGCTCATGTGAATATTAAAGAGTGTACATTACGGTAGAACCGAGTGTTATATGACATGTATAAGACCCGCTTTATTCCCTACCCCACCCTTTTGTAGATGAAAATGCAAGGCTATATTTGGAGAGAGCTGATGTCACAAGTGGTTTGAGCAGAGAGCCTATAACTGTTGCAGTCGGCTTGTGTGACAGTCTGACAAACCTTGGAGAGCTCCAGTAGCAGACTGGGATCTAGCCAAGACTACAGAAAGTGAGTATTTTGTCTTTCCTATGGCTTGGATGTCTTTTTCCCCCACAGGTTTTATTTATAGTTGTTAATGAGGTGCTAGAAGAAACTGACATTTATCTCAGTTTGTATATAGTAACATTTTTCTTTAAAAAATTAAAAAGGGAATATTTTAGTAAGTCTATTTCTTGCATATTTTTTAAGTAAGTAAAAGAGAGGTTAGAAGATTAAGTAAAAGATGGAAATTCACATAGAGCACAGGGAAATGTGTAGATGAAATCTACATTAAGTTAGATGATTCTGTGGAAATATAACTAAGACTGAAATGTACAAAAACGAAAAAAAAACAACTATTTATTTAAAAAAAATATTATGTTGTTCTGTAAACAGATGTAACAGTGAGATTGCTGCTACTATTTTCATACGACTAACACAATAAAAGACTTTGTCATCATTTGAACACATATGCAGCTGATTAATTAGTAATGAAATGTTATAAAATGATGTCATTATAATCTAACATTTAAGCTACTCAGCTAATTTGGATATATATTACAAAATAATACATTCTTAATTACTTTTACTTCAAAATCAAATCCTGAAAATATTGCACCCTATACTAAAAATGCACATGGTCAGGACATGTTTATATATTTAAAATATATCCAATGTGAATAAAATGATGCGCGCATGTTCAACATTTAAAGCTGGTGCCATTAAATTACCTTTAAGAAACCAGTACTGGCAAATGTACTGTCCTAGTTGAAGTAAAATTCTAAATGAATCCATCCCATATTGTTTTTGCAAAGTCAGCTCAAGTGTTCCTTCAGATTTGCATTTAAAAGCAACTGTATTCTAATTATTGTGCTGCATGTTGCTGAAGTTGAAATAATGTCAGCATTTCCAGGAACAACAAGCTTTGTTTTTCAGACTGCTCCTGCTTGAAAATGTCTGCTTGCTCCATTTTATGGTGGAAAAATCCCAGTATCAGATGAGTCGATACCATGGATTTAATTGCTTTTAAAACTATTTCAAAGATTTTTTTTTAAAAATGCATTTTTGGCAATCTAACTATAACTTTATTGCATTTTTTTCAAATATAATTTAACATAGCTTAACACTTATGTTAGACCCTGACATCTATTTTGATGATGTACCTAATTTGTTGGGAATCAGACAAAACTATCACACGTCTCACTGGTTTTCCCTGAAGCACAATAAACAAATGTAACTCCTGTTGTGTTTGCAGGTAATCACGCTTACAGCATGTATCACCTCAGGGTGCCTGTGCTTCTTCTCATGCTGCTTGTGCTGCTGCACTGCATCACCGCTGCCCCAAGCTATAGGTAAGCCAACACATTCAAAGCAGAGAGCCGAGGTGCAGGAGAACTTTGGCTTTCATTTGGCTCAAATGTTGATAATCAAAGATGGAAACCAACTGTGCTCATTTGTGGGGAAAGTGTTTCACTGTGCAGGGAGAAGTGGGGCTGGAGCTAAGTGGCCACTTTCTCTCCTTGTTCTCGGGAGTTGTGGATATCTTCAAGAGCCTATCATCAATGTCAAATGGTTTAGCCCTTTGTCCTCTGTGATTCAGGTACTTCAGTCCCAGCTCATCCAGCGAGCAAGAAAGCGATCTCCCAGATAGCGAAGCCTGGTTGCTTCCCGGGCTAATCTCCAACCCATTTCTCAGCCTCGTGGGTACACGGCCACGAAGGGGGCTCACAGCTATGAACAGGTAGCAGCATTATTGCTTGATTTCATTTAAAAAAAGTTGAAATCTACGAGTATTTTTGAGGTGTTTCTTAATATCTGTGCTTTTCTTAGTCACCATATAGAGAAGAGAAAGTGCAACACAGCCACCTGCGTCACCCAGAGGCTAGCAGACTTCCTGGTCCGTTCCAGTAACACTATTGGTACTGTGTACGCACCAACCAATGTGGGATCTGCCACCTACGGCAAGAGAGACCTACTGGAGCCTTCAGGCTACGTGAATCTCTAGTGCCAACTGAGGAAACTCCACAGCATTTGCAGCAATCCTCACAGCTCTGATGATATAACCAATCATGTAACAATGATTGTGAGAATGACATATATATAATGATGGCAATGATGGCAATGATCACAGACTTTTCTTGATTACTTTCTTAACTTAAGAAACAGTGCCTTTGATTTAAAACATCACTGTATATTTTTTTCTGCCTTTTTGTGTGTTGTGGCTTCATATGTTGTTGCACAATGGCATGATGGGAATAATAATAATAAAAAACAACCAAATGTTAAAGTAATTCATGGGAAATAAAATAAAGGAAAAACATGTAAAGCAATATAAAATAAATGTTATTTGTTGTTTTGATAATAAAATTGTAAAAAAAATATATATATATATTTATATTTTTTAAAACCTTTATGCATTTTAAGCCACATTATTGTATTAGAGCTGCACGCAGGAGCTGTGAGCTGTTAGCATCCATCTGATGAGTACAGAAAACGTTTTCTTTCAGGAGATGTCCATTAATCAAATAAAATTATTTCACATTGATTATGAGCAAACTCTGAAAGTTGCATTGCCACTGGAATAAACTTAAAAATGAAGTAGCCATCCTATTTCACGCAGCTCATTAATTCACCCAGCTCCATAACACCAAGAAATAAACAACTCACGTTTGCCATAACGTCAAGCTTTCATGAGGAACACAGCAGCCAAAGAAACTTAGAGGAAATGCTGATGATTCAGCCCCAAATTCAATCTCATCTTTCACTCTCATCACAAGCAAACGATGGTTCAGCATTTTGAGAATAACACTTGTTCACTTTCTTGCTAGACAAGATAAACACCACTTTCATTTCTGTAAAACAAAAAAGTCGTATATGTTGCTGACGCAAGCAAATGCTCAAGACACACAAAACAGGGGAAGCGGTAGGAACTTCTGAGGGACTTTTAACACTAAATAATTAGTCTGACTTCCTGGTATTATGAAATGCAGAAGCTTATGAGGTACCATTTTCTTCAAGTCATTTTTAGTGCCTGTTATTTGAGTCCATATCAAACCAACTTTGCACATCAATGCCATGAAGACGATGCACCCCAAAGCATCCAAAAAGTACCTTAAGTGGCGTGCCATGAACTCATCGGCCACCGTATTATCTACACCTTCTTAGTCCTTCGTTAAAGCCACTTTTTTTTTCAGGACACTCTTAATTCTTCATGGAAGAGATTCAATGAGTTTCTGGAAACATT